TGATATGCACGACTACATCAATGGGAGTTTATTTTCGGGATAACTTGGCGTAAGGTGTCAACGATTTATTTGCCCGTTACGAGGATTAGTACAATAGCATACTAAGCGTTTCCAGACCGGTGATAGAGGGACTGTGACTATACATTTGTAAATGTTTGTGATTCTAACGAAGCGTGTGTATACCCAATCATAGTCGAAAACGCAGTTACACCTACCACTGGTAACAGTGAGACAAAATATAGGTGACGTCACCATAGATGTAAATTTACGAGGGGAAACTCTTACATCACAACAATGTTTTGAATTAGTTGAATATAAGTTACAAATTTTAACATCGATAGCTCCCAATGTGGGAAACATGTGTGTGATTATTTTCAATAACAAGAATAGTTGACTTTCAAATTTGCTATCACCGGTATTCTATAAATTTAATAAAAACAACTGTCGTGAAAGTCACATATGTATTATTCCTTATTTTTTCCGGCGAGCGATCCGACCATTCTGTGTAAATCTATGTTTCTGGACAATTTTAATCAAAAATTGGTGTAGTCGCGTGATTTTTTTCCTAAATTATTTTCATCAATTCGTCAACAGAGGGCGATGTGCAATGGCGAAATACTTTTTTTATTTTGTTTTGCTGTTTGCACGCTGATCAGAAACATGACTGTTTAGACCTTATATTCAGGACTTTGTGAAATGAATTTGTTGTCGTTCGTATGATTCGACGGCCTCATATTATATTTTTAGTGAGATGATGATTCACGCTCTAGTTACTAGGACAACATCATGGTCAAAACCATATGTACCATTTATCTGGGAAGTTGATAGGCGCAACGCATTTGGATGCTAATAAATAAAGGTTTTTAAATAAAAACAACTATTTTGTCACTGTTTTCTATTTATAATTTTCTTTCATCGCAAACAATGCTGTTTCCGAGGTGGAGCCTGCCACCCTGGAAGCGTTAATGCATCAGCAACAATTAGATCATCACCGTCCGCTCAAAGGTAACGCACTGACAAATATTTATATATAAAAACTGGAACTGAAACCATAGAGGGACTGTGTTGAAACTAATAGAACCAATGACATAGACACGTGTTCAAATGGAATAGAACGACGGAGTATAACACTTTGAATTAAAGTAAAATAGCGAGTATGTCGATACATCATTCATTACCTTCAGTGTTAATACAACTCTCCTCTCCGTCTGATGCTGTAGCTGTAACCCAATCATGAAATCTATGTATAGTAGTGTAGACCCCTGGTAGGTCCGGCCGAGCACATCCAACACCCCAGCTAACTAGTCCTAATAAATACCAACGATCTCCACTCTGTAACGAATATGATACTAGTACTAGTATATATAAACCAAATGGTGAACTTGAAGGGAAGCTTCTACGGTTGTAAAACGTAACGGAAAATAGGGTACACTTTTACCCAGAATGCCATGCAATATTCAAATATTACTGTAATAAGCTGGTATACAAAAGGCCAATTGAAATATAGTTTTGAGGATTTGATCTAAGGTGACAGTAGCATTGTACGTGCAACATCA